GTAGAGTTACAGGGCAGGTCACTTACAGGAACAAGGTGTGGCGGCCTGAAGACCCCGGCCCCTAAGGCTGGACTACGATTTGGCCTGTCACAAAACCTCCTCTGACAGGCCTGTCCAGTTGGGGCAAGATGCTTCACATGGTGAAGCTTAGGGCTGTAGAGTTACAGGGCAGGTCACTTACAGGAACAAGGCGTGGCGGCCTGAAGACTCTGGCCCCTTAGGCTGGACTACGATTTGGCCCGTCACAAAACCTCCTGTGACAGGCCTGTCCAGTTGGGGCAAGAGGCCTCACATGGTGAAGCTTAGGGCTGTAGAGTTACAGGGCAGGTCACTTACAGGAACAAGGTGTGGCGGCCTGATGACCCCGGCCTCTTAGGCTGGACTATGATTTGGCCCGTCACAAAACCTCCTCTGACAGGCCTGTCCAGTTGGGGCAAGATGCTTCACATGGTGAAGCTTAGGGTTGTAGAGTTACAGGGCAGGTCACTTACAGGAACAAGGTGTGGCGGCCTGATGACCCCGGCCTCTTAGGCTGGACTATGATTTGGCCCGTCACAAAACCTCCTCTGACAGGCCTGTCCAGTTGGGGCAAGATGCTTCACATGGTGAAGCTTAGGGTTGTAGACTTACAGGGCAGGTCACTTACAGGAACAAGCCGTGGCGGCCTGATGACCCCGGCCTCTTAGGCTGGACTATGATTTGGCCCGTCACAAAACCTCCTCTGACAGGCCTGTCCAGTTGGGGCAAGATGCCTCACATGGTGAAGCTTAGGGTTGTAGAGTTACAGGGCAGGTCACTTACAGGAACAAGGCGTGGCGGCCTGAAGACTCTGGCCCCTTAGGGTGGACTAGGATTTGGCCCGCAGGAAACCTCCTCTGACCAGGCTGTCCCGTTGGGGCAAGAAGCCTTACATGGGGGAACTTAAGGTTTGAAAATTACCGGGCAAGGCACTTACCAGAACAAAGGGTGGCGGCCTGATGAACCCCGCCTCTTAAGGTGGACTACGAATTGGCCCGTCACCAAACCTCCTCTGACAAGGCTGTCCCGTTGGGGCAAGATGCTTCCCAAGGTGAAGCTTAAGGTTGTAGAATTACCGGGCAAGTCACTTACCGGAACCAAGCGTGGCGGGCTGATGACCCCGGCCTCCTTAGGCTGGACTACGATTTGGCCCGTCACAAAACCTCCTGCTGACAGACTGTCCAGTGGGGCAGGATGCCTCACCATGGTGAAGCTT